CAGCAGTCGCTGGGAGGGTTCTGGTTGCTCCTTGCAGGTTCGGTTTAACTGTTATTACCATGCTTCGCTAAGGAGCCTGCACGACTGTGTTGTAGAGCTTTTGGAGAGCATTTGTCTTGGTGCCTTCTAACTGCAGGACGTGTTTGTTAGAGGGTAGGGTAAAGTATCAGTTACCGACCAGCAGTGACAGGCTTCAGCTGAGAGGTGAGGGGATGCAGCTCATTGGCTTCAGCGCACAGATCTTTGTATTTGCAGATGCTATTAATTTTGTGCCTTTTTTTTCTGGTCGTCCTTCGTGTAGCTATGTTATAAAAAGTCCTCCACGTTGGCTCCATGTCTTTCCTATTAGAACATTGCAGATGTGTCAAGGATGCACTTGTTCCAAAAGAAACTGGGAAGGGGGAATGGAGGCTCCACCCTCCTTCCCAGGCCAAATGGGCCTCACAGGTTCCTCGTTCAGCACCCTGGCAGCCGAAGGGTACACTATCTCTTTAAAGCAGCTATAGTTTTGTGCCTTGGCTTGGTCAATTTGTTATGGTTTAAAACTGTGGAGCCAGCTGTCTGCAATCTGATGTAATGTTGCCGTGGAAACCAGAAATGAAACACTTAAGCATTCACCACAGAATTATTACATATAGCGTTAGCCAAAGTAATTCAAAGTTGAGCCATATGGGCTTTCTGCTGGAAAAATCTGCAGGAGAGAGGCTGGAAGTCAAATGTTTCTGTTTACAGTCTTGTGAATCTCCTTTCCTACAGCTTTTGGTGGGATAGGTTGCCTTTTTCTCTTTAACGCTTTCGAGGTGGAGGATTTGTGCAGCTGATGGAGCTCACAATCAAGTTAAAACCTGTTTGAGTCTGTTTGAAGGGTGAGAGAGGCAGGGGACAGGACATCATCCCATGCTTACGCATGCACGAGCATATCCTTTTTTGTTCCATTTCAGTTTATTTTAAACCCTCCCTGTAATAGTTCTAAGCCTATTTCTTGAAATCATTCATTCATTTTATATGCAGTATGGAGTCCATTCATCTTCTATAGTGTCCCACCAGGTATTTCTTTAGAAACATTATGGTATCTCAAGTAAAAGATTTAAGAATGATATACATGGGAGCTCTGGTAGCGTAGTGCCTAAGGCACTTGACTGCTAATCAGTAAGGCTGGCAGTTCAAATCCACCAGCCACTCCTCGGAAGGAAGATGAGGCAATCTACTTCCGTAGTGATACTGCTCAGAAACCCCAGGAGGGGTCGCTGTGAGTCAGGTCTGACTCAACGGCACATAACAACAACAACAACAACATACATATACATATGTATTTAGTGCCTAAGGCACTTGACTGCTAAACAGAAGGCTGGAGGTTCAAACCCACTAGCCACTCCTCAGAAGGAAGGTTGAGCAATCTACTTCCATAGTGATTGTTGTTGTTGTTGTTGTTTGCCATCGAGTCGGCCCCGACTCATAGCGACCCCTCCTTGGGTTTCCGAGGCAGTATCACTACGGAAGTAGGATTGCCCAACCTTCCTTCCGAGGAGTGGCTGGTGGGTTTGAACCGCCTGCCTTCTGGTTAGCAGTCAAGTGCCTTAGCCACTATGCTACCAGAGCTCCCTAGCCCAGAAACCCAAGGAGGGGTCACTATGAGTCGGGTCCGACTCGATGGCACATAACAACAACAACAACAACAACAACATGTATTTATATTTCCTAATTTTAAAAACAGATTTCCCACACACACACCCCTCCCTGGGTGTATGTGCGGAATTAAAAAAAGAAAAGAAAACTATGTGTTATTTATAGCATCAGGGAAGTGGTGTCTGGTTATTTTAAAAGAGAAACATGAAATGAGGAATTCAAGCTTTCCTCCCCAGTTTAAAAGAAGAAATGTGTGTCCTTCACAGCATCTTTATGTTAAAACAGCTGCAGAGAATTTTTTAAAAGCAAATATTTCACAGCTCTTTCTTTCTGTGGACTTGGGAGGAAGTGAGAAGTCAACACCTCTCCATCAGTAAAGAGCATCCTGGTGATACATCATTGAACTCAAGTGGCTTAAGACTAAGTTAAGAGGGAGCGTTATATTAAAAAGAAAAATGCACATGCTCATATTTCTTGAATAACTTAGCTTTTGTCTTATACTTTTCATCATGGACGTTGCACTGCATCGATCTTGTCTGGGCTCCAAACGTGACAACACAGAGAAAGTACTTAGGTACCATGATTGGTGAATGGGAAATGCCTCTAAAATGTTCAGCCTTAGATCTTTCTTTCTTTTTTTAAGAAAAATAAAAGTAACATCAGTTCAAAGTTCTAAAGAGCTCAAGTTTCTCAGAAATAGACATAGCATGTGAAAGCAGTATGATAAGTGCCTGGAATATGTTGTGACTTTTCAGGACTCTCCTAGGGGGCCTTTGTCTTTAAACCTATGGTCCTGATGTAAGTATTTCATCATCACCCTGGAAGTTCATTCTGCTGGCACCTTTCTAACTTAGGACTTGTGTCCTTGCGGACTAAGATTTTTTTGTACTACCTCTTCTCACATCCCATTTCTCTTTCTACTTCACCCTCCTTCTGTCCACACAACCAAGCACACACCAATACCACCACCAACAACAACAACTAGCCAACTAGGTCTGAGCTATACATCCATCAGTGATATGCATCCTGTAATGTAGCTTAGTGTATCTGGATTCTAACTCATCTATGGTAATTTCATTTTCACTTGAATTAAAACATGTTTAATGTGAAGATTATAGACATATTCTAGGTTTGTCCCATGTGTGTGCTCACCAAATTAATATAATGTTGGCCCTTCTTCAGTTAGACTTGCTTGGCAACATGTTCTTAAATGTTTATGTGGAATTCTGTGCACTGTGGGTTATTCAGGTACTGATTATCCAGAATGAGGGTTAACCAACTTTTCATTCCTCTGGTTGACCACTCGACTATTTCCTCATACACCAACAATTCAACCAAGTAAAAATGAAATTCAGACCAAGCAAAAACTTGTTTATTACCAGCTGTACTTATCATCTTATTTTATTTCTTTATATTTAAGGTTAAAAAAAAAAAGTCACTGCTGTCAAGTCAATTTCAATTCATAGCGACCCCTCCTTGGGTTTCCAAGGCACTATCACTATGGAAGTAGATTGCCCAACCTTCCTTCCGAGGTACCTTAAAAAAATAAAAATAAAAATACCCACTGCCATGGAGTCTATTCCAACTAATACCAACCTCGATTGGGTTTCTGAGGTGGTAAATCTTTACAGAAGTAGACTGCCAGATCTGCCTTCCATGGAGTGGCTGGTGGGTTTGAACTGCCAACCTTCTGGTTAGCAGTCAAATGCCTTAGGCATTACACCTTGCATTGTACCATCCAAAACCAAACCACAGTCCCTGCCATAGAGTCCATTCCAACTCACAGCGACCCCCTTTGGGTTTCCAAGGTGGTAAATCTTTACTGAAGTGGATGTTCGTTCAGTCTGCCTTCCCTGGAGTGGCTGGTGGCTGTGAACCACCATCCATAGTACCATGTTGTTGTTGTTATGTGCCGTCGAGTCGGACCCAACTCATAGTGATCCCTCCTTGGGTTTCCAAGGCAGTATCACTACGGAAGTAGATTGCCCAACCTTCCTTCCGAGGAGTGGCTGGTGGGTTTGAACTACCAGCCTTCTGGTTAGCAGTCAAGTGCCTTAGGCACTAGACTACCAGAGCTCCTCCATAGTACCATAGTGCTAGGAAAACATGAATTCCACAACTTGCACCTATTTTACACCTAAGTTATGACTATAATTGCTTCCTCTCCCTACTCTTGAGCTGTCTCCGGATAACTCTTGCCTTGCCTTTTATTGTCTGTAAAATTGGGATTCATGAGAATCCATTGGGAAAAACATCGCCCGGTTGGACTCATGCTCAGAGATGTGCTTTTGTTTGGTTCGTGTGAGGCCTTTTCTCCCAGGGCTCTCAAGGCTGGACAGGAGATGGTTGTCAGGATGTGAAGGATTAGATTAGCCGGAGCTGGTCCTGAACTGAACAGGGTGTGCGGGGCAGCGCGCTCCCGCTGGGCGGCGCGCTCCCGCTGGGCGGCGCGCTCCGGGAGTGCTGCAGCCCCAGCCCGCGAAGCACCTCTGAGTTGGCTGCCACTTTCGCTTTTCCACATTTTGAGCAGATAAAGTAGAGGAAGCAGCATATTGAATGTTGGAGTCGACTTGGAAGCAAAACCCTCATTTTTGTTCACAAGGAAAGGATTGTTTGGTCCCGGCTGCTGTGAGAGAATTTTTTCTCTGTCTGTAATGTTTGATACTTGAGGGAAAACAGCTGGGCTCGTGCATGCTGGAGTCGCTGCGCGACGGAATGGGATGCTGGGAATATGGACTGTGCTGTATGGCTGAAAAGGTCAGCTTTTTCCCTTGTCCCTCTCAGAGGAATGCAGGCTCTGTCCTCAGGCCTGCCTGGTGAGCTCTCGGAAAGACGCGGAAGGGATGGCTGTGATGTGGCAGGCAGTTCCTAGCAAATGGGACGGAAGCCGGCCTTTTGCATCTCTTCCCCTTTCCTGCCCGGCTGTTTTTGATTGCGAGGAGGACTGGAAAAAGTCAACAGAATTTTGGTTTGGAGAAGTAGTTGATCCCCACGCGAAACAGCAAGTCCTGATGGGCCAGACAGATGAGAGCCTGGCCCAAACCACAGCGGCGCAGCGGGAATTACGGGGCCTGCCTGGGAGAGTCCTGAGTTATCCCGAGAGAGGACATGGACGTAGTTGAGACAGATTCCACCCCGCGCAAATCAAGGGGCAGGATGCATGTTCTGGTGCCTAGGAACTAATTGTACGCCGAGTTAGACCTCACAATGGTACGCGGAGCTTTGTAAACTGGTTGGGGCGACTTGGCAGTGCCCACGTCCAGCTGCAGAGCTGTGGAGGTGCAGGCGGGCGGCGAGGCTGGGCTCCACCCGGCTGCCAGGGTGAGGCACGGGGAGCAGTTATCTGATTAACCTTTCCTTTGTTTCTTTGCCAGTCAAGAGAGCAATCGGATGATGAAACCGAGGAGTCGGTGAAGTTTAAGAGATTGCACAAGCTGGTAAACTCCACCCGCAGAGTCAGAAAGAAACTAATTAGGGTGGAAGAGATGAAAAAGCCCGGCACTGAAGGTAACAGCGCCACCTCCGCCCCGCTTGTTCCCAAGTCAGCCATTTGGGGCAGTTTTTTCAATAGAAAACAAGTAACGATTTCCAGTGGAAAAGGGACTAGGTGCTGGGTGAGGTTGGTGGAGAGCTGTGTGTACATGTCAGCAGGGCAATGCCCAGCGCATTATGGGACAAGCCCTCCAGAAGCAAAGGCGTTTTGGAGTTTTTAGTGGTGTCCGTGTTATCATGCTGGGAAATGTGGCAGGGAAATCTTTGCAAGGTGTGGCCCAGCTGTAATTTTTAGCTTACACTATTTTACTAAAAATTTCATTTTAGTATTTCCTCTTAGTGTAAACCTCTGCCCTGAAAGAGAACTGTGGTTTGTGTCCAGAGAGGTTAGTCCAAATGTGAGGTACATCCACCTTGAACAAACATCTCCGAGGGGTCGTTTGTTCTTCCGGTGAACAGTCTCAAGTCCTCATTAAAGGGGCCTTTAAGGACCTTCCGTTCTAAGTGGATCTCAGAACTGTCCCACTGCCTAGGCCACTTGTCAGAGGCAGCAACGTGTCAAAAGAGGCATGAGCCTGGATTGACTGTAATGAAGAGCTAACCTTTGAAGTGTAATGATGTCCATTTAAGTCTCAAGCTATTCCTATCCCTCGCTGCTGGGAACGTGTCCCTCGCTGCTGGGAACGTGCCTTCACAGCCTGATGTCAAATTCTCCCCAAAAAGGTGAAAGGTAGAACAAATGGATAATATTTTCCTGTTTGTAAGTTTCAAAAAGTGAATTGGAAAAAAAAATACACTTTTTTCTTTGTTTCTTTTTTAAAAAGCACATTACTTATTCAAGAGTCACATCTACATGGTAAGGAATTTCAGACTTTTAACAGGCCAGTTTTAAAATTCTCAGCGGAGGCCTTTTGTCCATAAATAAAACCAAACAGTATAAAAGAACCAGACTTCCCCCTATCTGCCAAGATGAGGGTTTCCTATAGTTATTGTTACTGCCTTTAACTTGCATTGTTGTTGTTATTATTTGTCAATTTAAAATTCCTAGAGGAATATTGAAGGTAAGGGGGGTAACTGGGAGAGTGGAGGTTGGAAGTACAAAGAAAGAAAGAGGGAGAGAGAGACTTGCTGTGCGGCCAGTTTCCTAAACTCTGTGTTTAATCACAAGGTCTCCATGGAGGTCTTCTTCGATGGTAACTTGCTCTACATTTGGGTAAAATGCTGATTCCCCCTTGGGATGCTTTGACACCTGCTTGCCAGTGGTGTTTTCTCACAGTATTGACTATGTCCACTCTCTCTCACTGTGGCGGCTCTTACAGGGTCACCCACAGCATCCGCTGGCAATATCAGGATGTATGAAACTGCTAGCACTCGGCCTCAAACCAGAAACCAAACTCACTGCCATCAAGTCAGTTCCAACTCATAGCAACCCTCTTTGGGTTTCTGAGGCAGTAAATCTTTATGGAAGTAGATTGCCCAGTCTTCCTTCCGCAGGTGGCTGGTGGGCTTGAACCGCCAACCTTCTAGTTAGTGGTCAAATGCCTTAGGCACCATGCCACCAGAGCTCCTTACTCAACCTTGGGGACACATTTTAGAACAAACCTCATACACAGTTGCCAAAATTAAGGTTTACATATAGCAAACAGATGAGTGGATCTTTCTTCATCGTTGAGAGACGATGAGTAAAGTGCCTAGTGGGGACCTGTCAGTGGAGGCCTTCCATACATGATGGGTGGGTGGGCAGGCAGCCTTTCCACTCATTATTAAAAGTAAAGGCATGTTTTAATTGGCATGTTTACATCCGAGTAAATCAGTTCAACTACTTCCGAGAGGCATAGTTGAAAGAAAAGAAAAATCATTATCAAGAAGGTGGATTTAGGTAAGAAGTTGTAGCCACACGGGCCCCTCCCTTTGAACTTTAATTCAGCTGGGCATGGATTAGAGGCCACAGGTGGAAGATGGATTTAATGAAATTAGGTCCCAAGTTACACCTCTAGTGTCTGTGAATCGGGATGGGGTGCTTGGGTGCTTGGGTGCCCTGGGCCAGGCATCACCAGGAGGACCCAGGGGTCCGTGCAGCTCAGGCCGTGTGCTTCAGACTGCTTCCCAACACTTGGCTACATTGGCAACTGCCTCCACTGCTACATAAGAGGACCCTCTGAGGTTCCTCGTTGGCAAAGGAACTGTTACTGGGGAGAGATAACTTAGCCTCAGCTTCTGCAGAGCAGAAAGTATTCATACTGCCTCGAGCCCCTCCTGCCTGCTGTCTTGGAGCTTGCAAAGAGCTGATCCTTCTGACATCCTGCATGTGTTTATTGACAACATTCTGTGTGTCAGGTACTTTTCTAAACACTTTAGGGTTTATGTTCCCCTTTAACATATAATCCTCAGAACAACCCCCAGACGCAGGTACTATAACTAGTCTTAGCCTCATTTTACAGATGAGAAAACTGAGACACAAAGAGGTTAAATAATTTACTCAAGGTCACCAGTCAGCCAGTAGAAGACTCAGAGTTAGTTCCAGGCAGTCTGACTCCTCTGTGACATCTTGTGTGTCCAGCCTACCCCCACCCACCCCCAGCTCTGAAGCCCCAGGAGAGCCAGGGCAGGTGCAGTTCTTCACCCCGGCTGTACTTGCAGTGGGCCTTCAAGTTCTTATCCTAGGCAGGGATGCCATTGGACAGAATTAAACAGCAGCCCATGCCTGTGCCCTTCATCTGCCCATTTCTGTGCCTTTTCCCTCTAGCTGACGTCCTTCCTGTCCCTACCCCCATTGCTCAGCTCATCTGAACCTGATAATAAGTTATTTGCTTTTGTGTAGACTTTTTCAGCTTATGCAGTACCTTCATGTATCTTTTCTCATTTCATTTAATCGTCACAGCAACTCTATAGAGGATATTACTGAAATACGCAAAAACGAAAACAGTTGCCGTCAAGTTGATTTCAACTCCTGGCGACCCCTGTGTGTCAGGATGGGACTGTGCTCTGTAGGGTTTTCAGAGGCTGATTTTTCATAAGTAGGTCTCCAAGCTTTTCGTCCAGAACACCTCTGGGTAGACTCGAACCACCAACCTTGCAGTGAGCAGCAAGTGCATTACCGTTAGGACCACGCAGAGACCCCGTTACTGAGATAGGTAGGCATTGTTACAGGTGAGCTCAGAAAGTAAAGTAATTGCTCAAGGTCAAGAGCTGGTGAGTAGCAGAGCCAGCCCTGGGATCCAGGGCGTAAATCCATGCTCTTGGCCCTCAGCCAGGCCATATCACCTTCCTTCTGTATTCACATCTGCTGACTATGTGAGATAAAGATCAGAGGATGCCGGTCACACCAAGTGATCATGAAGTGAGGACATCTTGATTGCCATTCTTCCCACAAGAGAGCTGGAATTTTAAGGCAGAGGCGGATAGAAGCAGTAATGCTTAACGTCAAGGGAATTAATGTGGAAGGTGGGATCTCAGGCCACAGGTCAGGCACTGACAGCAGGGCTAGCCCTCGTCACAGATTGACGCAACTGCTCTGACACGCTGGGCACACCCCAGCTGCCCACCTTGCCAGATGCTGACTCTCGAAAACCAGGAATTAGAGCCCCGTCCATTTGTCATGTACACGTGTGTGCCACCTGGTTCCAGCTCAGATAGATCCTTAAAGTACCCAGGGTAGACTCACCTGACTTCCTCCACATCCCTAAGGGCTTCAGATACATAAGGGTCTTTCCACACGCCCAGGGACACCTGGCTGAGTGGGAAGCAAGACCCGTGCAGCTCTCTTGGAGAAGTTGGCTATCTGCTGCCTCTGCCAGCAGGCAGCACCTCTCTTCTCGGCCCAGCCCCTCCTTCCGGGAAGTGGAGGTGGACTGTCCAGGACCCTTCGTTTCATTGCTGTTCACTTTACTGCACTTTGCAGATAGAGCATTGTTTTCACGAATTGAAGGTTTGTGGCAACCCGGCATCGAGCAGATCTGCCGTTTTACCAACAGTGTGTGCTCACTTCACGTCCCTGTGTCACACTTTGGCAAATCTCACAGTACTTCAAACTTTTTCATAATGCTCTTGCACACTAATAGAGTACAGTAGAGTGAAACCAGAACATTCATGAGACTCGCTTTACTGTGATACTCACTTTATCATGATATTCACTATAATGTGATGATCTGGAACCAAATCTGCTGTGTCTCTGAGGTGTGCCTGTATCTAGAGGAGAGTACCGTTTTTCACAGCCTAAGGGCCCTTGGTCTTCATACCTTACTGGTTAGACATCCTGAGGAGGGTATAGGAGATTTTCATGGTAGTCACAGACTACCTCTGGTCTGATGAATTCTTGTCAAACCCTGGCAGCTGCTTTTAAATGTGACCAAAAGATCCCTAAACAATTCTTTAGCAAATGCATTTGTGCTGCACATTATGGAAAACTTTTTTTATTTTTTTAATTTTACTGCAGTAAAACATATATAACATAAAAATTGCCATCTTAAGCACTTTTTAAGTGTGCAATTCAGTGGCCTTATGTATACTGACAATGTTTTACAACCTTCACCATTATCCATTCCCAGAGCTTTTCATCACCACAGACAGAACTCTGTACCCATGAAGCAATAACCCCCATTTCCCCCTCTCACTAGTCCCTGGTCCTTTCCAGTCTCCTTTCTGTCTCCGAATTTGCCTGTTGTAGATATTTCTTAGAAGTGGACTCATGCAATATTTGTTCTTTGTGTCTGACCTCCCTCACTCAGTGTAATGTTTGCATACATGCTGTAGTATGTATCAGAATTCCATTCCTTGTTATGGCTGAATAATATGCCATTGTATGGTTATACCGTATTTTGTTTATTCATTCACCTGCTGATGGATGCTTGGCTGTTTCCATCTTTTCTGGCTATTTTGAATAGTGCTTCAGCGAACATTGGTGTACAAATATCTGTTTGTTTTTTTCCTGATTTTAGGATGCTTTATTTTTTAAAAAATTTTATTGTGGTTTGGATGAAAGTTTACAGAGCACATTAATTTTCCATACCCATTCATACACATTTTGTTTGATGACATTGACTGCAATTGCCCACAATGTAAAAGCTCTCTTTCCACTTCCTCCCTGTAAACCACCTTTTCCCTGTGTCCTTCCCTCTCATGCACTCCCGCCTCCTGAGCTGTCTCCCTGTGCAAACTCTGCCCTTCTGTTCCCCTGTGATTGGTCACTGCGAGGCATGTATCTACCTGATGTAAATGTTCACCTCATATGCCTGGCTACTTGGCTGGAAGCCACAGCAAGTATCTGTTTAAGTATCTGCTTTCCATTTGGGGGGTATGTGCCTGAGCATAGAATCACAGGGTCATATGGTAGTTCTGTGTTTAATTTTTGGAGAAACCTTCAGGCAAACTTTTCACTGGACATGATTTTCATCTCTTTCCCTACTTCTCTCTCCACCCTGCCCCATCTCCTCATCATTAACTTAAAATTTATCTTTGTTTGTATTTAATAGTAGCAGTTCTTTTTCTCTTTATATTTGTAACTATAATTCCCACCATTTGGACAAGTAAGAAATGCTTAGGATCTTAAAGACCTGTTACCATTCCAGGCATCTTCCCTTTCTCTGAAGCCAGCATCCTTCTCCTCTCATCTGACATTTAACCCTGGCACCCTGGTCCCAGCTGGTATATTTAGTGCCATCCTTCTGTTCCAAGGAATTTTTAATTTTTTCCCCTCTTTACAGTTCAGCTGGTGGAAAGCTGCAGTGTTAAAAAGTTTCCTTATAATTAAAGGGACACAGTCAGTAAGGATGACTACACCCACAGCTTGACCTACTTCTTTGAGCACATCTGTTCACATAACACATGCAGAAAAGAACTTGGTCTTCCTGCCAGCAAGTCCAAACCTTTCCACTGGGCTCTGGAGGGCTTGGCTCAGTACCTGGCACCAGCGAAGGCCCCGAGAGCTGGACTGCTTGAGACGGAGTGGAATACTCGATGGGCCTGCCTGCAAGTCGAGGCCCTTAAATGCCCTTGTCGCTTCCTAGCAGGACCTACGTCGATGGGAATGTCTGACTGGGATGGCCCAGTTCCCTAACGTTTTGTGTCGGGCCTGTCGCTGGAGACCATTTATAAATTGTATCTGCAAGATACAGCCCTTTATGGTGTTTCCACACCCCAATTCCCTTGGCAACTTAATCACTTCAATGGCATATGTACTAATAAAAAACTCAGTGCCAGCCACATGGCATTTATGACACTCTGACTATAAAAAGGCAGCCAGAGCCCACATAAGGAGGGCCCTTCAGAAAGGGGAAGATTCTGGCTCCTAGCTTCTGAGGATTGCATTTTAAAACCCAGAGGGTAGTTAACTTTAAATGCTGAGAAATACCATGATAGTGCCTGGCTTCCTTTGTACAAAGGGCATTTTAGTGGTTCTGTTGAGGTGTTTAGTTCTATCAAGAAAATTGTAGAGTAAAGATATTTAAAGAAGAAAACACATCCAAAAACACTAAGCTTGTGGGGAACCCTGCAATTGCACAATTTGATTATTTCCTTTTCTCCATGCATATTTAAGTGAAAATAAGGTATATGAAGAGGGTGCAGCCAAGTGGTTTACAATCAGCTGCTAGGCTAAAGGTTGGCATTTCAAACCCCCCAGAGTGGCCCTGCAGAACATAGGCCTGGTAATCTGCTTCTGTAAGGAGCAAACCCATACCCATTGGCATTCCAACTCACAGCGACCCTATAGGGCAGAAAAGGACTGGCCTGTAGGGTTTCCTAGGCTGTAATCTTTACAGAAGCAGACTGCCACATCTTTCTCCTACACAGCAACTGGTGGCCTTGAATGACCAACCTTTCAGTTAGCAGCCAACTGCTTAACTACTGTGCCATTAGGTTCCCCATAAAGTTTACAGCCAAGAAAACCCCGTGGAACAGTTCTGCTCTGTGTCATATGGGGTTGCCATGAGTTAGCATAGACTCAAGTGCAACTATTTATTTATTTATTTATTTATTTAAGGGGGTTAGAGATGGGGATCACTGTGATTTCTGTGTAGACTAGTTGAATTTTTGCAGGGTGGGAGGTATAAAGAAAGATCTGTGAGAGAACGCAAATGTCTGTCACAATAAGGGCATAATCTTTCCATTTTTTTTTTAAATTGTGTTAGAGAAAATTTATATAGCAAACCAGGCACTCACTTAACAATTTCTATGCATACTATTCAGTGATATTGGTTACACTTTTCCACAATGTGTCAGTGTTCTTACTATTTCCATTCTGGTGGTTCTGTTTTTGTTACTCTAGCTTCCTTGTTCCCCCTTACCATGTCATCTTGGGTCTCATTAAGGTGATTGTTTCGAGGAGCTTAGTACTAGGTAGAACTGGGAAGGGTAGTTAGCTTTAAATGCTAAAAAATAACCATGATAATGCCTGGCTTCCATTTTACAAAGGGCATTTTTAGTGGTTCTGTTGAGGTGTTTTGTTCTATCAAGAAAATCATATCATTTGTTTTTATCTTATGGGTGGTATTTATTTTATGAGCCACTCTGTCTTTTGGCTGATAGGTGACCTCCAGGAGTGGTTTGAGTTGCAAGTTTAAAGGGTATCCCTGGGTGGTAGTCTCGGGTACCTCTGATCTCCACTGGTCCAGTAAGTCTGTTTTTTTTTTTTTTTTTTTTTTTTTTTTTAAAATAAGAAATTTGAGTTTTGTTCTACATTTTTTCCCCCTTCTACCTGGGACCATCTATTATGTTCCTGGTCAGAACATTGGTAGTGGTAGCTGGGCACTATCTAGTTCTTCTGGTCTCAAGGTAGGTGAGGCCAGGTTCAGATGGACTGTTAGTCCTATGGGCTAGCTTCATCTTTGAGTCTTTGGCTTCCTTCTTTCTCTTTTGCTCCATGTATGTAGAGATTAGTCATATGGGGCATGAATATTTCTGTGTTGATTCTCCTGCAGGTGGGGAGGAGCACGCCTTTGAGAATTCCCCAGTCCTGGATGAAAGATCTGCCCTGTACTCGGGGGTGCACAAGAGGAGCTTTTTCTTTGACGGCTCTCCTGAGAAACCTCCTGAAGATGACTCTGACTCCCTCACCACCTCTCCCTCGTCCAGCAGCCTTGACACCTGGGGAGCTGGCCGGAAGCTGGTGAAAACCTTCAGCAAAGGAGACAGTCGGGGCTTGATTAAGCCTCCTAAGAAGATGGGGACATTCTTCTCCTACCCAGAAGAAGAAAAGGCCCAGAAAGTTTCCCGCTCCCTCACGGAGGGGGAGATGAAGAAGGGTCTGGGGTCCCTGAGCCACGGGGTAAGTACAGATAGTGTTTGCTTCTATGACAACCACAGGCACAGGCACCACCTACTGGTGTCCCTCGAGGAGGTTCAGAGTGTCCGGAAGCAAATCCGCTTGAAGAAAATGGATACTAATTATTCATGTTCCAGAACTTTTCTCTGCCAGCGTCCCTCCAGAAAAGGAGTTAACAGCACGACCTGCGACCTTCAGCTGCCCCGGCAGAAACCCAGAGGGGTGGGCAGCTGTGGCTTCCCCGGCAGGAGGGTGCGTGGGCGCACCTCAGTCAGCGAGTTCAATATCACCTACGTGGTGGAACGGAGCCTGTACAGCCACCTGAACCTGACCCAGCTAGTGCGTCCTGCCTCAGACAGGACCCTGAGCAAGGCCGAGAAGCAGGACCTGAGGCGGTGCTTGCTGGAGGAGGAGGAGGAGGCAAAGAGGAAGTGGGCTGCCACAGTCGACCGCTGTACTAAAAGGGTTCTCTTGAGAATCCACCAGAAGTCTGTGAGTCACAACCGTCGTCATGAGGACGGCCTTGTCATTTCTGTGATGTGCAGTCAAGCATTATGGCCTTTCTTCTGCTGAGCCTGGCTTCCTCCTTGTCTTTAACCCATGACATTAGGGTCCTTTCCACCATCACCTCATGTAATCTTACTTTAATTTAGCAGTGGTCACCTTCTTTTTCCATTTGCCTTCTGACCCATTGAGGCCATTAGATTTTTAATTGAAGCTAAACATCGACGCTGGTCCACAGAAGGGTGCCCAGGGTCATGGTGGGCTTTGGCCTCCCTTAGGAGTGGCTGTCTTGATTTCCAGCCATCACATCACTTGACTTCGTAGAAGCTGATTCAAAACAGAACAGTTTGCCCTAAAAAGAGATGCTTTTTCTTGTAGTTAATGAAAACAGTGGGGACCAGCTCACGGAAAGTTTGCTATCATTACAGTCACCAATGGGGTATTTGAAAATGTTGCTAAGTGCTTTTTTTTTTTTAATTGGAAATGGGGGACAGTTCTTAAATCTAAAAAGGAAAAAAGTAGAGCTCTTTCAGATTGTTTCTATTTGATGTGCCTTTAAGGGAATCAGCATTTGGAAATGACTCCCTCTGCCCCATCGATGCTTCTATACATAGCAAGGAATGAAGTACTTGCTTTCAAATAGTAAAGTAGTTTTCAGGCTTTTTATTGAATGATTAGAGATCCAGTAAAATATATTCTCAGGGCATGACTTATTTTGAACTTGAGAATATGCATACTTTCTCCATAAACCTCCCACCCCGCTTTTAGCCTGCATTTTATAGCCCATATAAAGTGGCACAGAGCAGGGAGATGCTGTGGGGTTCCTGGCTCTGCTCCCCCCAGCTCCCTGCTCAATCCACTCAGGGCTGCTGGCTGGAAGCCCCTTTAAAGGGATGGAGGCACAGTGAGCTCACCCTGCAGGGGAGACTGGGATTCCCAGAGTTCCTTCACAGGCAGGACTAAGATGGGCTTCCCCAGCTGATTGTTGTGATTTAAATTCACTGAAGTTCTGCTTTTCTGGAAATGGAGGCTGATTGGTCAGTGCAACCCTTAAGATAAGCTTCTCTATCCTGAAAGGAGGCACTCTGGTGGCATAGTGCCTAAGGCGTTGCTTACCAGAAGGTTGGCGGTTCAAACCCACCAGCTGCTCCGTGGAAAGAAGATGGGGCAATCTACTTCCATAAAGATTTACTGCCTTGGAAACCTAAAGGGGTTGTAATGAGTCGGAATCGACTGGACAGCAGTGAGTTTGGTTTGTTTGGTTTATTCTGAAAGGATCGTCAGTCCTTCCTAGCCCTTGGTTTTTCCAAGTATTTCACATACATTAACTTCCTTCCTAGGTCTCATTTTCTGTCTTTCCACATTCATATAAATCTTGCGACACTTTGAATACTGTCAGCATGTATGAAAATCTTCCTTCTCGTTTTTTCTCTCTCATAGTAGTAGGTTTTGTTTTGTTTTTGTTTTACAGTATCCGAATTCTTTTACTCATTCAACCTCTTGTCCACGCTGACTCACACATCTTTTGTAAAATACTTGTGGCTAACCAGTCTCCGTATAGTTTTGTTTTTGCTTTTCTGTATACTTTATTTTTTACCTTCAGACATACTCTTTCCAGTTCGTCTGCCTCCTTACCTTTGGACATGACCCTGATAGAACAGACCCACTCTTTTGTTAATTGGATGACTCACTCCTGTGAGTTCAAATCATGGAACACTGAGAATTTTTCCAAATTGAACACCTTGGGTTGCTCCTGTATCCCTCATGTTCCTTTCTGCCAGATTAATACTCTAATTCCATCAGAAACTTTTCTCTAGAAAGTTTGTGCTAACTAACATTGTGGGCCAGTGACATTGAGGAAGGACCTTCAGACAAGCTTGTCACCAACTTGCCCCCAGCACCCCGTGAAGGTAGGACTCTGGCATCTCTATCCCAGTCGTCATCCTGAGGCTGGATACTTTTCTGGCACTCGGAACAGTTTCAGCATTTGCTGAAACGTGTGTTCGGTGGTAAATTAGAAATTTCCAGATCCCTTTTCCTGGAAGTACAGTAGTACAGTCAATAAAACCACATTTTAAATTTTCTAATTATCTAGAGAAATTAACAGAAAATAAGCATTTTAATACAAATAAGAGCTCTTTTGTTTAAATTAAGGGGCAAAGGTCACTTTCTTGGCTTGGTTTAATTTAGAAGTTCATTTCCATTCTTCTCGGCATATGTTTCTTTCATTTCATGTGAACCTCTCATTTTCCACCTCGATCTTTCTGCCTCTTGAAAATGCCATATTTGCTTGATGAAACCTCAGGGAAATGATAATGCATTGTATTCACCAGATGTGGTCACTCGTCTTGCTTTTTTCTTTGGTCATTCGATTTTTATTTGGGGAAACAGACATGCATGACATTTTTGGAATTTTGTCCATTTTTCAAAAATTCAGCTATCCCAAAACATGTTGTCAACTGCATGCCCATCCCATGGACTAGCTCTCCTCATCCACAAGCATCTATCTCAAACGTTTTCAGAGTTATCTGGGCAGGAGATATGGGAATGAACAAATTCACTTAGACTTCATGCATTTATACGTCGGAGCCAAAGATTGGTTTCTTTTTCTTTTAATGTTCTCCCTATGACCTGTTTTCTCTATGGAAGGAGTGCCGCTGTGAGAACTACTTGATTTTACAGAAAAAGTTGGAGATTAGTCCCAGGAATTCATTGTCATTCCTCTGTTGATAAAAATAAATCCATTCCAGATATCCAGTAGGCACAGAAAGACTTAAATAAGCTTTTTATTCATTGCAGTCATAGTTTCCACATAAACTCCTAGTCAGTTATTTCATATGCACTAGGAATGATGTGCTGGGCTCCAGTGTTTCAGGGGATGCTGTGTGGAAAGCAGGGAGGTACAAAGCCATAGCATCTTGAGGCATCAGGCACCATATTGTACCTGGGAAGTGCTGCATCAGAAAAGAAACTAGAATCAAGTCACTGCCTTTGAAAAAAATGGAGGAAATTTATAAGCTGCACAGGGAAAGCTAATACTAAAAATTAGCCTTGAGAGGTGGTCATTACATTCCTTACCAAGTTAGGGGCGTGGTGTTTTCACATATAGAGGGCTTGCTCCTTTTCTAAAGTAAATGTTGTTGTTAGCCACCCTTGAGTCATAGCGACCCCTGCACAGGGACCACAATGCTGCCGGGTCCTACACCACCCCCAGGCCTGGCTGTGGACCGTCCCATTGTGATCCATAGGTTCTCATTGGCTGATGCTGAGAATATCCATAGGTTCTCATTGGCTGATACTGAGAATAGACCGCTCAGCCTTCCTTTCCAGCCCATCTTTGTCTGGAAGCTCTGCTAAAGCCATCATTAAATCAGCACACAAACCTCCACTGGTGGCAATAGGTGAGGAGCATCGGCGGGGAGTCGGCCTGGGTCCCCTGCATAGAAGGCAAGAATTCCACGGACCCACCATGACCCCATTATAGAATAGATGCAGATCCAACTTATTATAGAATAGATGCAGATCCAACTAAGTTGACTATAAAGGAAATCAGACCGTCCACTGATATTTATGATAAAATCAGAATAATGTCCCATTAGCAAATGTCAGTAGATTATTTAAAGCAGCTTTTATTAAAAACTTTAATAAGAAGAAAAACAACCTGAATCTTAGTTATCCCCAGATGCTGTCTGGTGTCTTCTATGTTTGGCTTCCACCATCTCTCCCTCTTTGGCCCATTCCTGGGATGCGCTGGTTATACAAACGAAACTCCCAGGATACAAGACAGAAGAGCTCCATCCTTCATTTGCATATTTCTAGTGTTGACTAAGCTTAAACCTCAATACATCAGTTTTCAGGATGAACTACTGAATTCCCAGTGTAGCCCTGATGGAATGAATGGAGGAAGCCAACATTCTTAGAGGGCTTCCTTAGGGTCAGAAAATGTAAGAAGTCTTCAAATACATGAGATAGGTCATGTTTTATTGATAAAGAAACCAAAGCTCGAGAAGCTTATTTACTTTGCCCCTGGTCACATAGCACGTAAGTGGCAGGATCCAGGCTTGGACCCACGTTGTGTGATCCCAGAGCCAGGCAGTCCCTTCCAGAATGTTTCTATTGATCAGTTCAGGTCAATAATGTGTATCTAACATGTATTTAGATGAGCAGCACCTCTAGCACTCAATGGGTTTTTCTGTTCAGTTCTCCCATTTAATGGCTACTAACTACAGTTCTTTGAGAAGCATGTAATACAAAATATTGCAGCCCATATCTACTATACAATTTTTATTACAAATTGCTTAAAAAGATAAACATTTGTACCAAAAAGGGTAGTACGCTTTGGGTTTCTCTTCTTAGAGATGTTTGTTTTTATTTGTTGTTTATTTGGTTTAGACATTGAATAGCTTTTATTAATTTAAAAAAATAGCAAATGCAAACTAAACTCTGGAAATACAAAGTCACTGAAATAGAGCAGTCCCATCAAGTTTGAAATCAGCTAGGAGGGCAATAAAGTTCTTGAACTTTCTAAAAAAGAAAAAACAAACCATTTTTCCTATTGAAATTAACAGTATGGTCTAAGACAGTCACCGAATGAACCTTTTCCTTTCTGGGGAAATGTGGTGTCTTCATTTTATACGCTATGAGAAAAAGGGTCAAAATTAATTAGGTTGGGCAGCTGGATGGGAAAGTCATCCGCATATTTGGCTAAGACAGGAAAGCATTGAGTGAGTAATCCTCTTGGCCTGATGGGACTGCTATAAACATAACCTTTTTTTCCTTTCTCAGTGACTTAAAACTAAACAAAACACAAGTTTGTTAGAAAAGCCTGCTGTCGGTAGCCTCTGAGATGAAAACCCACAACTCAGCACTGTAGGAGTTCAGACTGGGTTTCTAAGACCATTGAGGGCATTGTACCCTAATCAATATTCCCTTGCCATCCTGACTGTATGTAGCTGCTATTAAGGAAAGTTGAAGGGGAAGTTTTGTTGCTAAGAGCCTGGGAATCTTACAGCACTAAATATGTGGAGACTTTTTCCTGTTGTGTTTTTTGTTTCTTTGTTAATAACCAGTTGGTTTTTGCATGTTACGGAGATTCTGTAGGCAGAGTTCCAGTGGCCTGTGGAAAGGCAGATTGAGGGAAGTTTCTTTATAACATGACCATGTTTTTTTTCTCTCGTCATTTCTTGTTTCCAACATTCATCTTGTATGCACATTTGTGATTTGGTGGTATCTGACCCATGGGGACCGTGTAGGGTTGATGCACTGCTGGCGGCCTTAGTGTAACTGATTCTTCCCGCCCTGACCTCTCCTTTCCACAGAGAACCTGCAGTTTTGGAGGGTTTGACCTGACCAACCGTTCTCTGCACATTGGCAGTAATAATTCCGACCCAATGGTAAGTCTCTGTCAGAAGAAAATGTTGGATGCAAGCAATGTGGTAGACAAAAGTTTCACATTTAGTTTCTTTGAAAATTGATATTGAGTAAGGACCCCTGGTGTTGCAATGGTTTCACACTCAGCTGCTAACCAGAAAGTCAGTAGTTCACACTCACCCAGCAGCTCTGTGAGAGAAAGACCTGGCACTGCTTGCGTTGAGATTACGGCCTAGAAAACCCTACAGGGCTCATCTGCTCTGTCATACGGGGTCACTGAGTCAAAACTGACTCAACAGCACCCACCAACAATGACAACTTTTGCCTTGGTGATCCTCAATCACATATGGAAAGAACCCCTATTCCACCTGTCCCAGGACTCCTCACTGTTCCACATGGAATGGCCACCATCGCTCCGTGTGAAAGCCCAGTTCCTTTAACGCCTCTCTTACCAGTTTTCCTCAAGTAACAAAGCCAGATGAGTTTGGCTTCTGTGGACTTAGTCGTTTGTGCACACGTGGCTTTTCTTCATACTAGCACAAGAGCATTTAATGCCTACACCCAGGGAGTGCCACAGAATGGAGCCCGATTTGGATTTGGATCCTAAGAGTGTGTGCTGCCCTTTCTAAAAGCTGTCTGATCGTGGATGAAGTCTGTGGCACTAAGGCATGGACTAAGCCTGGGTCTTTCTGATCTGGTGTATTGTGGAATCACCTAGTCTCTTTGGGATCAAAGAGGACTAGACCCCTCAGGGCCACAGGTTACTATGCACTGGATACCTCTGGATCACAGCCCAGGGCCAGGCTACTGCTATAGTGCCCTAATTCTGTTTCATAACGTTTCCTTTCTCAGACTCTAAAGATTTAGGCAAGTTTGATATGCAGTTTTGTTTTTCCCTGATGCATTTTGTCATGAAACTGGGAAGTTTAGAGTTCATGGTTTGTATTTGTTATCATCATGTGTCAGCTAAAATATGCCTGTGTGATATATGAAGTATTTGAGAATTTCCTGGAGGAATGAAACTATTTTATTTGGATGTAATATTTTATTGATTCATAAACCAGTAATTTTATGCAGTGAATCTTTAAAAATGACAGAAAGTATAATTTTTCCCTCTTTCTCCAGGGAATGTTATTTTTGTTTTCTTTTTAATGCAAAGCAGAGTGAGGGGTGACCACATTGGTTCAGAAGAAGAAATCTAAACGCATTCTTAGGAGTTGCTCACACTGTATTGTTGGGTGCCATGAGTCAGTTCCTGCTCACAGGGGCCCCGTGAGACAGAGTAGGGCTGCCTCACAGGGCGTTCTAGGCTGTAACGTGCAAGGGGGCAGGTTGTCAGGGTTTTCTCCCCCTCAGGGAGCTACTGGGTGGGTTTGACCTCCACCTTTTTGAGCAGCAGCCCAGAGCTTAACTGTTGGGCCAGCAGGGCTCGCTGTCCGGTGCCGTGGAGTCAGCTCTGCCTCATAGCGACCCTGTGTGCAGCAGAACGAAACACTGCCCAGTCCTATGGCAGCCTTGCTCAATGCAGCAGGGCTTACAGATCCAGTCAGCTGTGGGACCTTTGATGACTGAGCCTTTACCAGTTTGTTCTTGTCTAGAGTGATTATTTAGGAGCTCTGGTAGTGTAGTGCCTAAGGCATTTGACCGCTAACCAGAAGGCTGATGGTTCAAACCCACCAGCCACTCCTCGGAAGGAAGGCTGGGCAATCTACTTCCGTAGAGTTCCTGCCTCGGAAACCCAAGGAGCCTGTCTGACTCAGTGACACATAACAACAACGGAGTGATTATCTATTGTGACTTTGGTCAGAACAGTCAGTAGTAGTAACCAGCTCTTCTGGTCTCAGCCTAGAAGAGGCTGTGGTTCATGTGGCCATTAGCCCTGTGGACTCATTTCTTCCTTGACTCTTTAGTGTCCTTCACTTTTCTTTGCTCCAGATGGGAAGAGACCAGTACTCGTATCTTAGATGGCTGTCTGCAAGCTTTTAAGATCCTGGATGCTACTCACCAAACTAGAATGAAGAACGTTATCTTCATGAACTAAGTTATGCTAATTGACCTAGCTGTCCCAGGAGACTATAGTCCTGAGCCTTCAAACCCAGACAATTAACCCCATGAGGTGTTTGGATATGTTTGGGAAGGATCCCTAACTGTGCCCCTATGTGTTTTATAGTGGATGTGACTACATGTGTAGCATATACAAACGTGTATACATGTGCATGCACTCCCACACGCCTTCCTACACCCATATAGCATCCTATCTACCTAGGTACCCACTCATTTTTTGCTTGTTATTCCTGTTGTTGCAAAATCGTGGATGTTACGGCATTTACCACAGGTACACTTTATTCGTGCATTCCTCTGTGTCTTCATTTACCTTGGTCAGGTTGTGCTGAGTTCCCACAAACCCCTTGGGTTGTTAAGATGGTTGGAAAATACATAATCAGAGAAAAGTATACTAAGATCGAATCAAATAGAAAATGATACACACCCCACTTCAAAGGGCTCTGTAGGTTTTAACTTTTTATCCAGGAGATAAATAATACAACCCTGAGTTACCATAAGTAAAACCTAAAAATCCTGGCAGATGCCACTGTTTTGAGAAGTTGGTTTGAATAATAGAACCTGCTTCTGGACTTCATTTTCTGTGGCAACCAGTTGCCATCAAGTCAGCTCTGGCTCGTGGCCGTGACCCCATGTGTGCTGGAACATAGCTGTGCCCCAGAAGGCTTTCAGGGGCTCATTTACCAGGAGCAGCACACCAGCCTCTATTCCACAGAGCCTCTAGGTGGACTCAACTTCCACCCTTTGGATTAGTAGTTAGGCACGTTGTTGTCAGTTGCCATCAGGAACTGCTGATTGTAATTACAGATAGTTTTACATTTTGTTTTACAGAGTAAAGAAGGTGATTTTGTGTACAAAGAAGTAATCAAGTCACCCACCGCCTCCCGCATCTCTCTTGGAAAAAAGGTGAAATCAGTGAAAGAGACAATGAGGAAGAGAATGTCAAAAAAGTACAGCAGCTCTGCCTCTGAACAGGTAGGCACCTACCTCACAAAAAGTCCCCTTGGTTCTTCCTGACAGCGAGGAATGCCAGGGTCATCAGCCTGAGAGTCGGTATGGTGCTGGAGATGGAGCCATGCTTTGTGTATGTAGACAGACTTCCATTTAACAAACATGTATTACACACTTTCAATCATCTGAGCACTGTGCGTGGTGCTGGGAACACACAACAGAGGCCCTGCCTTCTGTTTACAGAGGAGAGGCAGGACTGACATGTAAAGTAATTATTATTTTCTCTGTGCGATGAATGCTGTCATCTGAACATGAAAGAAGGATTTTCGTTTCTAAAATATCACTTGCTACAAATGGATCTCACCAGACTCAAACCTGAAAACGACACTCCAGTTTCCTCAGACAGCAGACTTCTCACATGCAGTTCACATTGATTGTTTCAGAAACACAGCAAGTCTGAGAGGTCAACCTAGGAAGTGCTTCCGACTTACAACCTCAGGAGGAGCATGCTTCCATGGGGAGAATTCATTGACTGGCCCTATTGGTGCGGCATCATGGAATTGATTTTTTTCCTCTAGTTCTGTAATTTCATCGCTAGAAAACACAGGTTTTTTTTTTTTTTTTATTGTGATTTGGGTGAAAGTTCACAATTTCATTTTCCATATAGCAGTTCATACACATTTTGTCTCATGACATTGACTGCAGTTTCCTGCAGTCTAACAGCTCTCTTGCCACTTACTGCCCACAGTTACCTCTTCCCTGTGGCCTTCCCTCCCCTGCACTCCTACCGCCCCCCCCACAACTGATCTTCTATTCTCCCATGACTGATCTCTCCAAGGAATCTATCTACCTGAGGTACATGTTCAGCTCATATGCCTATCTTTTGTTTGGCTGGAAGCCACAGGAGGAAGTTCAATTCCAGACCTGAAGGGCAGCAAGGGGCCATAGTCTCAGGGGTTCCACCAGGAAACACTGCTAATTTTATTGTCACTGCATGGTGGAGGGAATAGACAATGGAGAGCTGGGCATTGAGGCAGTTCTGACTAGAAGGTTCTCAAACCCCTTCCTCTGGTGCCCTGATCATACTCTTTCTGGAATCTGCGGAAGTATCTGTATACCTCAGAGAAAGTGTGGGTTCTGCTCTGACACACCGCAGCAGATCGAATACCACAATAAAGCGAGTCACGGGAAAGTTTTGGTTTCCCAGTGCATATAAAAGTCATGTCTACTGTGCACTGTAATCTATTCCACATGCAATAGCCTTATGACAAAGCCTGAAATGCTGCTGTTGTTACTGTTGTTATGTGCCGTCGAGTCGGCCCCGACTCATAGCAACCCCTCCTTGGGTTTCCGAGGCAGTATCACTACAGAAGTAGGATTGCCCAACCTTCCTTCCGAGGAGTGGCTGGTTTGAACCGCCAGCCTTCTGGTTAGCAGTCAAGTGCTTTAGCCACTATGCTACGAGAGCTCCCTGTGAGGATCATCAAAGCATGACACAGGGACCGAAGTGAACACACAGTGTTGGAAAAATGGCACCGATAGATTTGCTTGGTGCAGGGTTGCCACAAACCTTCAATTTGTCAAAAATACAGTATCTGAGAAGCACGGTAAAGCAAAGCACTGTACAATGTGGTGTGCCTGTATACAAGCCTGTTGTCTACTTTAAATATGTAGGCAATGCTTCTTTCTCTACCTAATGAAAAGCAGGAAAAGCAGATGTCTGCTCAGCTGCTGCCCTCTGCTGGGCATATAAGTGAAGTACCCAAGCCTTCCCCAGGGGTGTCGCTGAACACCAACCAGCCACCCACACTATGATTCAGACAGCCAGGCCAACTCAACATCTTCCATTTATTACAAGGGTTCTCAACAGGGGTGATTTAGCGCTCTCCTAACCCCAGGGCAATGTCTGGAGATGCTAGATAGTCATGACTGGTGAGAGAAGGGATGGGCTCCTGGCATCTAGTGGGTAGCAGCCAGGGTGCTCTTAACATTCTGTAATGCCCAGGACAGCCCCCACAACAATGAGCCATCCAACCCAAACGTCAGTAGCCTGGTCTGTTGGACCAGCAGGCCGAGTCTGGGCAGCCTTCTGTGTGCCTCCGTGAATTTTTCCCTTATTGGTCCATTTCGCTCATTTCTTGGTGTAGGAGCAATAGTGATTCTGTATTTCTGCTCAGCAAGGAAGCAAACGGTTCATGCTCCCACAAAGCAGACATCACACTGATGGAAGAGCACCACTCATTTACAGCATTTTGTTCAATTTGCTTTTCCCCAAAATTACAACAGCCACTAAAAGCCCTTACAAACCTAAGTTCCTGCTGGATGGATTCACAATGATAGGATTTTAATGTCATTTTGAGTGTTTTTCTATAATTTTTCTACCATGTAGCAATCTTGGATTCTTAGTTAAACTTTTTGTTATTTTTTTTTTAAGTAGTCATTTCACAGGCATTAAAAAAAGGACTAATTTATCATTATAATGCTTTTTGGAGGGAGGAGATCCATGTTGTGAAGTTTTTCACTTTTCTTTGAATCATTAGTACATAGGTCATGACGGTAAGAATTTTTGTTTTCTCTGTTAAATGCGATATCCCAGCACCTGGAACAGTACCTGTTCTTACAGGTAACGAGTAAGTATGTGATGTTGTTGTTGTTGTTACGTGCCGTCAAGTCGGACCCGACTCATAGCGACCCCTCCTTGGGTTGCCGAGGCAGTATCACTACGGAAGTAGATTGCCCAACCTTCCTTCCAAGGAGTGGCTGGTGGGTTTGAACCGCCAGCCTTCTGGTTAGCAGTCAAGTGCCTTAGGCACTATGCTACCAGAGCTCCTATGTGATAATATGTGATAAGTAAGTTAAAAGTATTAAAAGCATTTGAAGACATGTTATATCAGAAATGTACATTTAATACTTCTTTCAGAATGTGTCTTTTTTTTTCAGAAGAATTTAAAATGACTTGAATCAAAAAAGTCACTTATCTTAGATTGTGAAAGGCAGAATGGAAATGCATCCAGGAGGTCATGCTTTGCAGTGTCCCTTCCCATTAATGATAATGGCTTACAGTCACTATTTTTGAGGTTCTTTGTTTGCTTTTCGTAAGTGCGTGTTGGATGAGAGGATGCTATGGCCTTTGTCCTTCCATGTTTGCAGGGCGTGTGGGATCGTGTTAAGGTCCTTATGATGATTCGGCACCATGCAAATAACAGGTTTCACTTCGATGGTTTTTGTGCTCACGTGGCTGTGTAATATGCTGGAGAATTTTCTAGTTCTCAAGTAAACACTCCCCTGCAGACATTTTGTAGTATGATACTGTTTGTCTATAAAGCGTCATGAATCAAATGAGCATGCATATTCATGCAGACCAGGAGCTGCTGAACCAGGAATACAGAGCCACCCAAAAAGGGCCAAGGTTTGCCGAGTTACTACGGTCAACATTCAGATCTTTCAGACTGATCTCTGTCTGACATTACAGCTTTTGACTCTTGAGGCACAGAACAAGGAAAGGAAGCTCAATCCATAGTGTGATACATGGAAATGCTATTACAGACTGAAAGCCTGTATTTTCACTATTTATCTGGCACCTACGTTGATATTTCTTTACCCAATTTTACATTTGTTAAATAGAACCATAAGAATTTGGCCAAAAATATTTTTTTAACAAGGAATACACTCTGTTGTTTAGATGTAAATATCACTCTACAAAGTAATTGAATTACTCTCTGATAGTACTTCCTGACAGTACATTAATAGTGAATTGGATGTGACCTACATTTGAAGTTCAGCCTTGTCACTGAACTGGATATGCTACGAGTCTCTAAGCTTTTCAGTAAATATTTTGTGAAAGAGGTAGATATATTTTTCTCAGTTGCAGTATTCAAGAACATCTACTTGAAAAATAATCCTTAAGTGCTTAATATCATAGTTACATGGGTCACATTGTGAAGTAAGGATATAGATTAAAAAGGAGGAGGATACTGGATATAAAACCAAATATGGATATGAAGATTGACTTGATTGATTTAGTCAGGGACTAAGTTGCTGGAAAATAGCTGCAACAATGGACTCCAACACACCAGCCACCATGAAGGTGGTGCTCCTAGGACCTGTACCGGTTCATTCTGTTATATAAGATCACCATGAGTTTACACCAACTCAACAAAAACTAACAGCAGCAAATTGCTGAGAATGACAAAATGACACGTGTGCACACTGATGAAATGTCATTTTGTTGAAACTCATTTCAGGACTCTGGCCTTGATGGAATGCCTGGCTCCCCTCCGTCATCACAGCCCGACTCTGAGCACGTGGACAAACCCAAGCTCAAAGCTGGGGGCTCCGTAGAAAGCCTGCGGAGCTCTCTAAGTGGGCAGAGCTCAATGAGTAAGTCCATTTGTAACTGTGGGTGGTTTCCTTGGGAGTCAAACTCTGACTTTTATTGAACACCAAGTACGTTCAGATGATTCAAAGTTAAAGACGACCAATTTCTACCCTTAGGGAGCTGTTAGGACCAGAGCTGCGAATATATGGAGCTGGTCTATTTAGTTGGAGTACAAGTACAGCATCAAGAGTAGCCATTTATTTTGACTGGGAAAGATAGGGAAAGCATCTTAGAAGAAGGATCTGGAAGATATATGAAGGCACATGAATATGACCGACAAAATAAGGTTAAGGCATAATGATGGAGAAAAAAAAAAAATCTGCTGTTAAGTTGATTCCGACTCATGGCAACCCCAGTGGGGGAACTGTGCTTTACAGGGTATTCAATGGCTACTGTTTTAGAAGTCAGTCCCCAGGCCTTTCTTCCAAGGTGTCTCTGGGTGACCTTGAACCTCCAACCTTTTGGAACATTATTGTTTACACCACCCAGGGATTCCAGGGAGAAGGGCAGGAAGTGTTACATATGTCACTGGTAACAGATACTGTTCAACCACTCCAGGACCAGTGGTGGTGGCGCCTGTTATGGGGAAGGAGACCAAGATTTAAATGTACTATTTTAAGCTCTTGGCCTTGAGCAAGTGACTTGACCTCTATGGGTTTGTTTCCTCATCTGAAAAATGGAGTAATGATAGTACACCTACCAAATGAGAGGTTGAGCGTGTTGAGGACAGAGTCGAATGTCTGCATTAGGGAGTCTCCTTATCATAAGGAGTCCGTGCCATATGATAACATGTTGTGAGTTCCTCTCCTATTAGGGGTTTGATTAAGGTAACAGCTAGAGCATTCAGGTCCACCCTGCACTCAGTACTGGACCCTGCCTGGTCCTGACACTTAATAACTGTGGCTCCCGACTCCCGTTCTCTAGCTGTTAGTTTCCTAATCTGTTACCTTCGGTACTTTTCAGTTTTGCTCTGTAGGAGACCTGTGCTTACCCATGTTCTTCCTGTTTTTTCTGTACAGGTGGCCAAACAGTAAGTACGACAGATTCTTCCACCAGCAACAGGGAAAGTGTGAAGTCAGAAGACGGCGACGATGAAGAGCCCCCCTACCGGGGCCCCTTCTGTGGGCGCGCCAGAGTGCATACCGACTTCACACCCAGCCCCTATGACACAGACTCTCTCAAGCTCAAGGTATGTGTGAGATTCCTACAGCTGCTGTTACAGAAGTAGAAGGGTAGGTGGCTTTAAAGAATAAATGTTGATTTTTCTCACCGCTCAGGAGGCGAGAAGTCCAAATCAAGATGTGGCTCTAGGGGGTAGTCCTGGGCTTTTTCAGCTTTTGTTTTTGTGTGCTGTGGAGTCGATTCCGACTCAAAACAACCCTGCTGGACAGAGTAGAACTGCCCCATCGGGTTTCCAAGGCTGTAATCTTTACAAAAGATCACCAGGTCTCCATGGAGGGCCTGGTGGGTTCCAAACACCAGCCTTTTGGTTAACCACCAAGTGCTTAACCGCTATGCCACCAAAGCTCCTTTGTTAGCTTCTGGTAGCCAGCAGTCATTGGAGTTCCTGGGCTTGTAGATTCATCTGTTTCCATGGCCTACAGACAGCATCTCTTCTGTGCTCCCTCCCCGTTTCTGCCTGGTCCTGTGTGTAATATGCTCTTTTAATAACTCAGAAGTGATTAAGTTTAGGATGCGTTCTATAATAATGTACCCTGGTTAACATAACAAAGAAAATCCCGTTACCAAAATGGGAGTACAGACACAGGTATCTGAACTCACTCACTGCCACTGAGTTGATCCCCACTCATAGCTACCCTATAGAACAGGGTAGAATTGCCTCATAGTGTTTCCAAGGCTGTAAATCTTTACAGAAGCAGATTACCTCCTCTTTCTCCCAGCGTGGCTGGTGGGTTTGAACTGCTGACCTTGTGGTTATTCTCCCAAAGACTTTAACCTTAAGAGTCCCACACATATTTTGAGGGGACACAATTCAATGGATCATAGCAGTATGTCTCTCCTTGGCCTCAGAGCAGTTCCATCACCTGGGCTCTTTGTTTCTTGACAAGGTTTTTTTTTTTTTTCCCTTATTATTGAGTGGTGAACTATTATGGTACAGCCTGGACAGCAGCCTGGCCACCTTGACAAACTGGTCTCCTTTGTGGCAATCACCAGAGCAGAGACCAGCCAGCATTAGGGGCCCAGGCAGGTATTGCATTAGTCCCTCTGCCACCACCACATCCCCTTCATCCTCTGACCTGAGCTTCCCTCTAGAATTCCTGTTGGCCCCCATAACAGTCCCCAACCCCACCCTGGTTGCTGTGCTTTCTTCAGCTGATGAGACATGGCTGCCTTCTGTGTGATCAATGGTATTCATATGGGAGAGATGGAGCCTCACAGAACAGAGGAAGCAATTATAGGGTAGATGGCAGTGGCATTTGATTGGTGGAAAATTTTTCCTCTAAGGAGCAGGAGTTCTCTGGATGATAGGAAGGCATTCAGAGGGTCAGGTAACTAGTCTAGGTATATGTCAGTCTACCTTAGACCCACATCATCCTGTGGTTCAAGAGGAGGAGGGACAAGATCTAAAGTCCATATGGAATCCAGTACCATTGGAAGTGTTCCATTTTGTCCCTTGTCCAAATTCCCAAGTCATGTGTTATATTAATTGCTCAGAAAGGTGACTTACATCGGGTCTTCAGAGTGATGCATCTAAGTTTTTAACACGTCTGATTGATTTATGCTTAGAAATATGTCTAATGGAACGATTTTTGTTTCTTGGGCTACAGAAAGGAGATATCATTGATATAATCAGCAAACCACCCATGGGTACTTGGATGGGCCTGTTGAATAACAAAGTCGGCACGTTCAAGTTCATCTATGTGGACGTTCTAAATGAAGAAGAGGAGAAGCCCAGGCGCCCCACCAGGAGGAGGAGGAAAGGAAGACCACCCCAGCCCAAGTCTGTGGAAGATCTCCTCGACCGGATTAATCTGAAAGTCAGTTACTTCTGTGACTGTCACCTACAACTCACATGCCTTCTCCTCTTAAAGCAAGCAGGGAAGAGTAGTTAGGGTGGAGTAGGGCTTGATCTGTGTCATTCAGCAGGGGTGGCCAATATCCACTGTTTTACAGAAATCATTGTTGAAGTTGCCATTGAGTCAGCCCTGATTCATGGTGACCATGTGTATATGAGAACAAAATCTTGCCAGGTCTTGCCCCATTTTCATGATTGTTACTGCTATGGTGTCTTTCCATCTCATTGAAGGTTTCCCTTGTTTTTGTTGGCCCTACACATTGCCACACATGATCTCCTTGTCTAGCAATGGATCTTTCCTGATGACATGTCCAAACTGAGTGAGCTGAAGTCTCACCATCCTTGCTTCTCAGGAACATTCAATTCAGGTTTTAGCTCTCCAAAGACTGGGTTGTTCACTCTTCGCAGTCCATGGTATACTCAGTACCACTGTTAAAACACATCGATTTTTCTGTCTTCCTTTTTCATCATCCAACTTTTTTTGCATGCATATGAGGCAACTGAGAAGACCATGGGTTGGGTCAGGTGCCCCTTAGTCAGCAAAGTGACATCTTTGCTTTTGAGAAAGCAGAAATAGTTACCATTAGTTTAACCCTGGCCTTGTCCTCTGCTCTGGTGATGGCATTAGCCCTGGGTCAAAATTTGCTAGTGGTTCAAAGAACAGTCATTAAAGCTTAGAGCTGAAACCAGGAAGGACTATGAGCAAAAGCCCCAGCACGTGCTGACTGCCAGATGAGCAGGCAGCAGTCAGCCTCCTCAGGGGCCGTGAGAACTCTTCCACTCCAACTTCTCTTTCCCACCTCTCCCACCATTACTACCAGCATACAATGGGGTGGATCTACAGTGGTAGATTCTGTTTGTTTCCTCCTTACAAAACCCTCTTGCTCCTGAAGATTCCGTAGTCCCTCTGACCTGGATTTCAATAGCTCTGTAAATGAAGAAAAACTACCCACACACACACGCACTGTGATAAGTTGCATTAAAGGAATCAGCTCATACCAAGGGCACAATTATAAAGCAAGCCAGAGGAAACCATCACAGCATGACACGTCCATCATCTCAACCCATGATTAATAAAATGCCCCATCTGCCTACTAAGCCACAGGAGTGGGTGTACAGATTATATTACAAATGATAGTTACTAATCTTTAGATAAGCATAAAAATGATGGAATAGGAGTTCAGGGGTTTAGTCTCATTGTTGATCATGCGTTACAGGGCTGGGCCTGCAAACTCACTTCTGTTTTTTTTTTTTTCTCACAGGAACACATGCCCACGTTCCTGTTTAATGGGTATGAAGATTTGGACACCTTTAAGCTCCTGGAGGAGGAAGACTTGGATGAGTTAAATATCAGGGACCCAGAGCACAGAGCTGTTCTCTTGACAGCAGTGGAGCTATTGCAGGAATATGACAGTAAGTCCCGTCACACACAACTTGGTGGATGAGCCACATTCATAGTTCAAAAGCAGGTCTTCCGACCTGCCAGCACATGCTGAAGGCATTTGGTCCTGGTCCTTCCAGAGCCAAGGTAACCTTTAGTGTTAATTATGTCAAACAGCATAAAGACATGGAGATCCCCAGTGCAGACATTCCTGTTAATGTAGGAAGAAAAAAAAAAAAAAAATCTCTCACTACCGTTACCTCCATGGCACGTTTCTAGAGAAATCTGCAGAAAGTGCTGCATCCCAGTGCCTGAGAGAATTAGATTGCCATTTTTAAAAGAAATACGGTAGACTCCCCTTATGTATTGCACAGATAGGTAGCCTTCAGCAGGTCATTAGGACACCTGGGCACCAAAGGGTGACAAACTAGAAGTGCCTTGCCCAGCCACGGTGAATTATTTCCTTCAGCACAAGACGAGTTGCTTTCTTACTGAATAGGTTGGTTAATGAATACATGGAATTCATTGCCTTCCATTGAGCAAGAAGAGAATGTCTGAAATGAACATGAATAACACTGGATGACATACCGACTTGTGGTGGATTCCCAGCCCAAATGACAGCTCATTTCTTCAGGCCTTGAAGAGAATTGAGCAAGCGTGCAGCATTGCTGCAGTCTATTTGAATACATGGCATCCTTTGCTCTACTTACCCAGTCTTATCTCACTCTTTATTCTTTGGTCTGACATCCCAAATATTCTTGAATTTACTCATCACAAAGGGAGCACCCTTTCCAGTTATTGAATTCAAATGCTTTTCTTTTCAAGTGCTCTGCTCCAGGGATATCAGTATCTAATAGCATCTCTATTGTGCTAAAAGACACACCTCAACTATGGTTAATGGTGGGAGAAAAAGATTATATGCTGCTGAGTGTATCAAGCCCAAGAGAAGCCAGTATCACAGTACAGTTAAATTCACTTCTGTGCAATGGGTATTCCCTCTCACTTAACTGATAACAT